TAACATACCAAGAAGTACAGAGCCAGAGGCCGCGATAAAAAAAGAAGGAGAAATTAGGAGTGTCTGACAGCATTACCCTGTTTGATTTATTTGGATAATAAAATTCAGTGAAAGAAATCCATAGAGCAACTTCAGTTCATTCATAAAATGAATCAGGGTAATTCTCCATTAACAAAGGGCCTCGGATATATTGAACGGGGTTTTTAATAAAACACCACATCTCTGGCTGCTTTAGCAATATAATTTATTGGGCAACTTTATTCCGCCTTTCAGAGGGGCACAGGAAATAGTAATTAAATGAAGAAGAGATGAATAATTAATTGGTCATATCACTTTTAGCCAACGATTGCTCGTCTGGGATCTCCGTGAGAGAGGAATGGGCAAAGGAAGACCCGTCAGTAAGATGAGATGAGAACCCACTAACTGGCAACAGGAAAGTCTGGCAACACTGAAACAGGTTTTCCAAATCACATCCTCTTAGGAGTCAGAGAACGTTACAGATTTTGTTTCTTAAGCCTACTCCCACCCCCAGAGTTGGATTCCAACAGAACCCATTTTCATCACTGAAATATGCAAACTTCATAGTAAGATAAAACGCTAGTCTTTATTTTCTCATCAAAACATCAATGAATCACTTGCTATTACATTAATGAAGATAACAAACCGGTATTGTGGCGCGCCTATTCCGAGGTCAGGGAAAGTCCATTCGTGGAATTGTTCAAAAAGCTTATCCAATTTGAGGAAAACCCACATTCCCGAGGGGAAAGAACCTGGGATAAGTCGATGTAACCGCCTAAGTGAATCTGCAGATGATGTCCGACCTCACTGAATTCAACCCCAGGAAAGACTACGGAGCCCGACCCGTTGAAGTAGCTCTAGGAGAGAACAACGATGGGAAGCAGAGAAGCCGGCACGGCCACCACGTGGCTGCTTCTCCCGCAGAAGAGCAAAGACGCTGACCTCCGATCATCTAATGAAATGGAAGTTCATGGTGGCCAAGCAAACATCACAAGCCTGTTTTACAACAAAATGGCATGTGTCTGAAATCAGGTACCAGGAGATCGCACAGGAGTTTGCTGGTCAGCGCCCACCTGTGCGAGGCACCTGCAAAGCAGGAGACAGAGAGCCCAGCGCAGGCCTCGTGGGTGGTCCCGTGATGACCCGCCTCCCAGGTCTTCCAAGTGAATCCAAACACAGAGCAATCAAATCGAAACAGCTGTCTTCCAGTGAACTGACGTAATGTGTAGTTACATCATTGAAAACATGGCATTACTAAAGCTCTGGTGTAACTAATATTTGAAATCAGTTTATCAAAAATATAATTGTTTCTGAGAACAACATGACTTGAAGCATATTGAAGCATCTCAAAGGTCCTGAAACATCTCCTTCCTTACCTCCACAGCTCTGCCCAGCTGAGAGCGGACCGAAGGTGATACTCAGGGAAGTGGTCTGGCGGTCAGTAAATAGGAGATTTTACTGTATGGATAGATTTCAATACTGGCTTTTAAAGATTCTCTTCCAGCCCTGGCCGGTTTGGCTCAGTGGTTAGAGAGTCGTCCCGTGGACCGGAAAGTCCTGGGTTCGGTTCCCGCCAGGGGCACACACCTCGGTTGCAGTTTGTCCCCGGCCCTGGTTGGGGTCGTGTGGGTGGCGACCAGTTGATGTGTCTCTCTCACATCGATGTTTCTCTCTCTCTTTTCCTCCCTCTCTCCCTCCCGGTCTGTCTGAGGATAAATGCAAAAATGTCCTCAGGTGAGGATTAATAAATAAATAAATAATAAAGATTCTCTTCCAAGTGTGTCCATAGAACATCTCCCAGGTATCATGGAGCGGCCCACACCCAAGCCCCGGCCCCGCGTGGAGAGTGATGGCCAGGGACGAGGGCCCGCCTCCAAGACTCTGCTCAGCGTTATCACTGGTGTCCTGTCCGATCAGTGATGCTCACTGGTGAATATTTTCCAGTATTACCACTGAAGGGGCCTGTTCTTCATTGAAATATTTTCATTTTCCCGTGGAGCTATCGTGTATTTAGTAGATGCAAGAAGTCCATCTAATCACTGTAGTTGGTGTGACTAGATGTTTGTTTTAAGTCTCCACCAGTGGAATTCTGGCGCAAATATCTTTTAGGTGTTGAACTAGCAAGTCAGAAGGCTTGTGTGTCTTCAGGAAGAACTGTGGAGGCTGGAAGGGCTGTAGACAGGACAAGTAAGGGTGAGAGGTTCACCTGGCTGTTTTCCGCCTCGGTGCTGTTGTACGGAGCCTTGACTATCACCCTTTTCTGAGATTATTCACTCGCAGTGCCAAGGGCCCGTGAAGATTGCTAAATAAGGTAATATAAAATATGGCTTCTTAAATTTGAATTAAAGGGCATGAGAGTAGTCATGCTAATAAATAAATCAGTCACGTCAATTTAAAAAGGCTAAATTTTAACACAAGCAATGTGTATAAAAATATGTTGGAAAATAAAAATGTATCTTTATTATATTCAATATATATGTTTTCTATTCACCAGCTTATCACATTCATGGGAGTGACTATTTATGGAGCTTGACATTTTTTTAAAATATAGACTATTCAGAATTGGTGTGATAATTCTTTAATTTTTTTCTATCACCAAAATGTTCTTTTCTTTTCCATTTATTTTTGTGTGTGACATTCTCGAAATTGAATTCCTAACGGGGGTGTGTGTGAGTAGTTAAGCCATGGGCTTTGTAAAGCCGGCATGAGTGACAGGCTACTTTGCCAAAGGACAGAATTTAAACGATAGAATTCAGCAGTTTTGAAAATGTTTGTAAGCAGATCTATAGAAATTCTGGTTAAAATTTCTTTTCTAAGAATGCGCCTTCAGTATTTTAAAAGTATCCAATCCCTGAATCAAACATGAAAGAGTGTGTGTATCATTCAGCAGCAATTAAATATATTAAATGATTTTAATGTATTTCTATTTAAACACATCTTATTTAGCAAGACTTCAGGTATCATACATTCTTAGTATGAACAACCCTGAATGGTGTAATTTGCGTCATAAAATGGCCGGTGGTTTTAAAGCATTTATAAAAGACTTTCCTATTCTAAAACAGGGATTCCAACCCATTTTGGAAACTGTAAACCTCAACGCTGGGCCCAAAACGTGTGAAGAGTTGATACAAAGTGTGTAAGTTTGGTTTTTTCTTACTCCAATAGAAGAAAACATCTCTCTTAACTCAAGTTAGGAAATTATTATACATTTTTATATATCTTTATATAAAAAGTTACAAGGAGCAAGCAGATGATACAAAGAAATGGAGGAGAGACAGCGGTGTTGGGGAATGCATGCTTTTTACAATGTGTCTAAGAGAAAGGATATTTTCCCAACCGAAATATCCAGAACTGACATGCAGGGGGTTTTCTCACACTGTCCGTCAATTCAGTCGTATTGCTAATGGCTTCATCAAAAAACGTTGCTATTGAAGGGTATAAATGGCAAAATACCGATTTCAAAAACTGTTTCTGAAACTGGGTACTTTCTTTTGATATAAAACAAAACAAAAACAAACCAAACAAAGGAAATTGGGGCACAGAGGAAAGACCAAAGGATGAGATTGTTCTTATTGCCATCCAGTAATTTTACTCACTCCTGCATTGATCACGACACCACGGATTTCACAGTCAGGCCAGAAAACCTCGAGCTGCTGTCCCCAGGGCCACAGGGTCACTTTGCACGGGAGCACGTTCAGACTCAGCCAGGAGCGCACTGTTCTCACGCGGGCTATACAGGGACAACGATGCACCTGTGACACAGAGTTCACCCCAAACCGTGTTTTCCCATGAAGCACACTGTGGATAACCGTCGAAGAGACTTGAAGCAACACGGAGACGGCGTGAAGGAACAATGAAGTTGGGGGAGTCTGATTCAGGAACTAATTTCTTCTTCAAGTTTCCAGTAAATCTCAAAATGTATTTAAATACTAAGGAGCACTTGGTGGCCAGCAACCAAATTACGAAATGAACACATCATTGTGCAGCGGGGGTGTCTTGCCGAAGAGAGAACGGATGTCTGTAGTTCTTAAGTTTGGATAAAGGCAGTGGAATGAATTTAGAAATAGGTCCACTTTTCACAACTCACTATAGACTTTTCTTCGCACAGTCCCCGTGTGTGTATAAATAGTTCTCCTCTGAAAACAAAACACAGTTAAAACAAATTCTCCCAGTGAAAAACGCACACAAATACACCACTTTATCGGGGTAATCTAGAGCGAGGGAATGCATCCAGCTAATTCAAGAACAGATGATAGGCCGAAAGAGTTTGTAAGAGATCAGCTGTCAAGCAAATTTTATTGGAGACAAACTAGTCTCGTGTAGAAATAGACTCTTAACTGCTACAAGTAAGAGCTTCCTGACTCAATGACACATTCGATGCACGGACCGCTGGTATTTACGGAACACTGTGCCTTGTCAAGCATTCACTGTAACTTCCTGCATTTTATTTTCATGAAATAAGCGACATATCCATGCAAAAATAAGAGTGCACATATTGTATGGGAACAACCAAATTCTTAGTGTACGAGTTTGGTGTAAAATATTGCCAAATTAAGTCTAAAAATTGTTATCAACTTTATAGATTGACTTCAGTTATAGTGAGACAATGCTCGATTTTTTTCAGTATGAAAACCTCAGGTTTCTTCTGGTATGTCTTTGAAGAGGTCACTGATTTTTGTATCTCTACCTTAACACATGTAAAACCTGTCTTAACTGAACATCCTTTTCAATAACGTTGCAGTACAAGGCTGGATGGTAAGAATATTAATATTTGTTTTAAGGATACAGGTACTAAGAGTGGTCCTTCCATCAGCATCAAATCCATTCTATGAAATGTTAGGAAACATGTTATCTCAAGAAATAGTGAATAAATAGCCCTTTCCCTAAAAAAACTGCAAGACAGTTGCAACAAAACAAAACGAAATGGAATGCAACAACACGGGAGAAGGGACTGAGGCCGTCTGCTTACCTGGGATTTCTGTCTAGACCCTGGTGGTGCTGTATTCAGATTCATGTTTGCTTAGGGACCCAATGAGGCAGAACCTGGAATGTTACGGCTATTTCATTCAACAAAGTAATATTTGCACAGAAATAAATACGCACATACAGATTTACCTAAAAGCATTCCTAAAAATTCATAAAACTAGGAAAATAGATCTTTGCCGTCAGCATGCAAAATATTAAATCAACTAACATACTTTAGGTTTTGAAAGTGTATGATGAACTGAGAAACAATATACTTTACAAACCAAACCAAATGCTACTCAACATGCGAAAAGAAAACTTAAGTAGATGTGATTTGGGGATTTAAAATAATTTTTTCCCCTAAATTTTCCCTCAATGTTTATTCATTTTAGGGCTAATGATACAAAACAGATCATATTAAAAGGAAAAGGAAATCAAATGTTTCTACTAACCTTTGCTGCATTTAAATATAAATATGTAGTATTTTAGCATATCATGCTGCCCTATGCAATGTGTAATACAAGTGTTATGTAATACATGGAAAAAGTATTTTCATTTTCATACCAAAAATAGAATACATTATGTTGCAAAATATGCTATTTCTACATTAAAATTATTCCACGAGATGAGTTAACCATCTCGGTAAGGCAATTATTTCCAAATATCATTTCATAGATTTAAAAAACATAAAGATTGGGCCCAGCTGGTGTGGCTCAGTGGTTGAGCGTTGACCCATGCAGGTCGCTGGTTTGATTCCCAGTCACGGCACATGCCCAGGTTGTGGGCCAAATCCCAGTGGGGGGCGTGCAGGAGGCGGCCAGTCGATGCTCTCTCTCATCGATGTTTCTCTCTCTCCCTCTCCCTTCCTCTCTCTCCAAAATCAATAAAAAAAATAAATTTTTAAAATAAAAATGTAAGGATTGGGACAATATTCGTGACCGTGTGTAAGCAAACTGGCCATGTAAACATGTGATATAAATCGGAACCTATGTCCGTAGATGTAAGTGTTCGATGAGTGTGGAGGTTAGTGACCCCTGGTGGGCGCGCTGTCACACGCGTGCCCCGGGCCTGGCGGGCATGGACAGGGAGGAAAGGGAGAACACACGGGACACCACGTTAAACCGCCCTTGGGAAGGGGAACCGAGAGAGGAAGACAACCCCGCCCCGTCCGGGAAGCGCTGCATCCTCGGGTGGGGTTGTCACAGAAAACCGACGGGTACTGACCGCTGGACGGCCTTGTCGTGCCGGGACAGCCTGTGGCTGGTGGTGGGCACCTCCTCGATCTCGTCGATGTCGCAGGCGTCGGCGGCCTCCTGCGAGTAGCTGTGTTTCATGACCAGGATGCTCCTCCTGCTGGGGGCCGGGCCCGGGGCCTTGCCCGGCGGCGGCGGCGGCAGCTCGGGGGTGGCGGCCGCGTCCCGGGCGCTGAGGTTGCTGCGGCTGCCCCTCGCACTGGACAGCCGGGCCCCACAGTGGTGGTCGTGGGCGCACTTGGACGGGGCCCTCCGCAGCTGGTGGGGGTGCTCCAAGTCCTCGGCCACGTCGGCGAAGTCGGCCGCGGCCCCCGCGCCCCTCAGGGTGCAGAGCTCGTAGTGGGGAGGCTCGAACACCTCCTGGAACGCCGTCTGGTCCAGGTCCGCCTTCCTCTGCACGTACTTCTTCCGCGGCTGCTTGATCTGCACCACGACGGAGATGATGATGAGGAGGATGACGATGCAGGAGGCCCCGCCGATGACCGTGCCGCTGGTGCTGGTGAGCTGGTCCAGCAGGCTGGCCTTCCTCTTTCCTGGGTCGAGAGTGAGGAGGAGAAGGTGAGACACACGCCCGCCCGGCCCGTGCTCGCGGGGTCCCAGCGGCCACGACGCGGCCCGGGCCCGTGGCTGGGCTGGAGTTCTTAAAAATTAAGAAGTATTTAAAGTGACGCTCAGTGATCTTTGCAAAGAAACAAAAATGGTCACTTTTCACAAGGACCCCGTTTTCCAGCCTCCGACCGACATCCCTGCTGCTCTGTAAACGAGTGTTTGCAGAAGGTTGTGAGGCCTTCCGAGGGGCATTGGGAACCATCTCTTTATTTTAAAAGCAGGATTTATTTCCCGGCCGGCTTGAGCATCGACCCACGCACCAAGAGGTCCCGGCTCGATTCCCAGTCAGGACACATGCCCAGGTCGTGGGCCGATCCCCAGTGGGGGGTGTGCAGGAGGCGGCCAGTCCATGTTCTCTCTCATCCATGTTTCTCTGTCTCTCTCCCTCTCCCTTCCTCTCTCTCTAAAATCAATACAGAAAACATGTCAGAAGCAGTATTTGTTTCCCTGCGGTACAAGGGAGGGGACCGTGAGTGTGCCCGTGTCTGAGGGAGCTGGTTCCGACGTGGACACTGAAGGCACAGCAGTACCACGGTTCCGAACCAGACGGATTATTAAACTTCAAGACAGACAACTTGGAAATGGTGGCGGGCAGGGCCCTGGGCCGCTCCCCTAATGGACAACCATACCTGCTAAAAATTATGTTTAAAAAGCCATCGAACCCTGGCCGGTTTGGCTCAGCGGTTAGAGCGTCGGCCTGCGGTCCCGAGAGACCCGGGTTCGGTTCCCGCTAAGGGCACGTACCTCGGTTGCAGTTTGTCCCCGGCCCTGGTTGGTCGTGCGGGTGGCAGCCACTCCATGTGTCCCTTCACATCGATGTTTCTCTCTCTCTCTGTTCCTCTCTCCCCCTCCTACTCTACCTGAACAAAAAATGGAAAAATGTCCTCGGGTGAGGATAAAAAAAAAGCCATCGAGCTAAGGTCTGGGAAAGGGCCCTAATGGCAAACGGCGGTAGATTTACTCAGATGAGTCTGTTTCCTTAAGGTCGGTGAGCGCCTGAGACGTTACAAGCATCTGCATTCCCGGGTCATCAGAGTGACAGTCTGCTCTGGGGACTTCAGACACGCGGGGCTTCCTCCCCCCACAGCTCCTCGAGGAGAGGGACAGCAGCTGCCCAGCAGGGGGAGCCACCTGCCCAGGGGGACGAGCCACCTTTCTCACCCCCTCCCAGTGCCGTGGCCACTGTCTGGGCTCCCTTCCTGCCCCAGCCGCACTGGTAGCCCGAGGCTCAGACCAGGCGCCGAGGAGGCCGGGCCCGCTCACTCGCGGGTGGAACCACCTGGAGAGGCCAGTGGAGAAGACCAGATGCTACCACCTTCCCCCGGGCCCTGGTCATAAAGCTGTCCCCGTCCCCTTCCTCCCGAGCCGTGGCGCAGAGGGAGTCCGACAGGAGGGCAGACGGACTGCGGCTCCCCCTGAAGGTTACCGTCCGTGGATCGGAGGTGCCCACGCCCCCGGAAATCTCCCAAACAGCAGAAATGACCAGTGCTGGACGCGGAGTCTTCACAGAATGACTCCCCAGCCATTGCCAAGCGCTCCTCGGACAGAAACTCGATCATCGCCACATCCCACCTTCAAACGTTTGCCACGGGTCCCCTTCCTGCGTGAGCGCGGGGCCCAGGGCTGCGTCTACCCTCAGAAGGCGTTTCAGTGGATCATACTGGGCTTTGGGCAGGAAAGAGTCACCTGCCGCGTCTTTTCCTTTGCAAACGGTTCACAGTGAGTGGCCAAGAGGTGTGTGAACCCTTCAGCCTCGCTGCAACACACAGCAGTGTAACCGAGCCCGGGCTCCGGTCCCCAGGAACGCACTTTGGGCACAGGCTGGAGGAGGGGGAGGATGGGGAGCTGCTGTCCTTGGAAGGGAGGAGAAGCCTTCTGGTTCCCCACACGGAAGCTGAGTTTCAGAGGCTGGAAGTAACAAGCGCACCCCTGCCTTCCACGCACTTTCTCTGCGCAGCAGGTGCACCGAGGTCCACGCGCCCACCTGGGTAACGACAGGTGCCACCCAGACGCAGGGCACCAGGTCTGGTGGGAACCCCGCGTGTCCCTCTGTGGCCCTGCAGGCTCCCCTCCAGAGATGCCCCCATGAGCGGTCATAGCCGCCGGAGGGACCACTGTGCATTAATCATGACATACTTCTGGCAACAGCGCCCAAAAAGGCAAAAAGCAGGCTTCCCGAGCGATGCTCCAGCCCCGAGCTCCCAGGGGCCCGGCGCCGCACCTTCGGGCTGCCTGACGCACAGCCCACTGGCGAACGTGTCCCTGCCCGGAGCGGGTACTGCCGCCTCCGAGGACCAGCTCTTACCTTTGCAGTGGTTTTCGTCCCAAGGGTACACGCAGTTCTGAAGTCCATTGCACACCAGGGTGTGGTTGATGCACATGTTACTGTGGCAGAAGAACGTGTCGCCTTCGCAGGGAGCTGATGGCAAGAGAGAGAGACAGGGGAGGTGTGACTGGGGCTCCGTGGGAAGCCGTCTGCAAATCTGAAGCAAAAGGCTCGCAGCAGTGACTTCCCCTCCCGACTGAGACCAAGGACCGGACCTTCCTCCTCAGCAGGGTTGCAGAGGGTCCTTACTTCCGGAGCTGCTAAGGGAGCTGGCAGCCCTCCAGAGATGCCAGCCGATAACGGGCACGGGGCTACCATCATGAAGATGAAATCTGTTATGGATGTGGGTTCTTTGGTTACCTTGGTGCACTCATGTAGCGAAGCATTGTGCTTTACGTTCTACCTGTGCACGCTTGGCTGTACCGAGCGAAAAGGCTCATTGCAATATTGAAATAATGTTGACAAGTATAAACCTACAAGACGCTAATGAAAAAGCTTGTGTATTAGACAAAACCCGATAACACTATTCAAGCAGATGAGAAAAAACAGCGTCATGAGAATTCAGAACAGGAGAAAATGAATCATGAGCAACAAAAGAAAGAGATATATTATTCTCATCAACTTTTAACATGTATATGGTGGTGAACTTGGCTTTGTAGGAATTTCACAGTCTGGTAACTTGAGGCCCATGGTCCGTGATCCCCAGGTTATAAGTGCAGTGAGGGTGATGGGGGTACCCCTAAGAAGGAACACATCAGTGTGGGAAATATGGCCACATAAATATGACAAATAGTAAAGAGTTTGATTTGGCAAAGACAAAAAATGTTAGATATGACTTCAATATTAGGAAAAATGCTTTGCTTTCATTATCAAAGTCATAAAATACTTAGAAAAATCAGTTGATGGGGTCATACTACCTTAGAAATTTTGGTATCTAGACAAAGCTATTTTCTGTTTTAATTTTTGTCATCATCCTAAATATTTCATACGATGTAATTTTGTGTTTATCTTTCTCAGTAACAGTTCTGTGACCCTTGGAAGCATAGATGTTATAGAAATACTAGATACCACCCATATTCGATACTACGTGTAATTTATAGTGGGTAATTAACCAGCAAAGGTTTATCAATGATCAATATTATCTAAATAGCACAATCACATTATAATTGATTTTCCAGCTTTAAACTGTATATTGCAGATATTTGAGAAAGTTACTATCTTTTCTGTTGTAAATCCTCACTCGAGGATACTTTTTCCGTTGATTTTCAGAGAGAGTAGAAGTGGGGAGAGAGAGATCGATGTGAGAGAGACACGTGGACTGGTTGCTCCCACACGCACCCTGACTGGGGCCTGGGATGGAACCTGCAACCCAGGTACGCGCCCTTGACTGGGAGCCAACCCTGAGACCCTTTGGTGCGAGGGCTGGCGCTCTGACCACTGAGCTCACAGGCCTGGGTGAAAGTTCACATCTTTACATGAATCTTGATCTTTGAACAGCGTGGGTTTGAGCCACACAGGTCCACGTATACATGGACCTTTTTTCAGTCAACACTGTAAATGTCTTTTCTCTTTCTTATGACTTTCTTAATAATGCGTTCTTTTCTCTAGTTTACTGTATTGTAAGAATACAGCGTATAATACACGTAAGACATGTGCTGATCTCCGTTTGTGTTATTGGTGAGGCTCCGGCTCGTAGCAATTACTTCGGGGAGAATCGAGAGCGGGTGAGGGAGACGGCTGCTGACCTCACTCTGGTCAAGGTCAACTGTGCTCGTTATATTAATCAAAATGGTCAGGGAAACACTTTGCATAAGGCAACTTCGTAGATTTTAACACTCTTAGAGGAACCCTTAAAAGAGAAAAGTTTGAGTTTGGAAAATCAAATAGTGGAATAAAGATCTGACCAACACCAGCAAGGTGAATCTTGCCCCCCGCCCCCAACCCTTCTCAGAAGAATGGAGTTTTTCTTCCTTCTGCTGGTTTGACTTTAGGTCTCTGGTTAAAGAGTTAAAAAAAAAAAAAAAATGGAACAGTCATTTTGAAAAGAGAAAAGGATTAAAGAGTAGAAAATTACAGGAGTCTTTTGGAAAAGTATTCTGTGGAACACTGTATTGGCTAGCAGTTTGTCCAGCGTTGTGCAAACCCTTTATAACGTACGCTTTCATGGCCCAGGGCGTTACTGTGAAAATCTGCTTTTTGTAAGAGACTCAACGTGAACTTCTGCAGTGAGCCGCAGTGTCTGCTGCAGGTGTGTTTAGCCCCGTGTGCAAAGAACAAAGAGAACTTCTCTGCACCCCGACGGCAGGGGCTGCAAAATACTTCAGGAAAAAATGTGCACGACGGGTTACCTGACAAATTGCAGCAGTTTTGAAAATACAGCTATCCACCAAGTGAAGAATACCTTTGACAGAGCATACATCTTGATCTACCAGAATGAGCTGGAAAATGTATTATAATTCCTGTTAAATAGGATGGGTTAGTTTATAAAAGAATAAATATGTGAAAACGACTACATTCTGTGACTGAGTGAACTCTAGAAGCAGGTCAGTAAGAGCACTGAGGCTGGAATCCCAAGTTCTCCCAACGTGACCTTGTTCCAGATTCTGCTGTTTGGTCCTTGGGAACACGTCTTATAAACTCCCAGTGTGTCCCAGTATCAGTGGTGAAAGGGTGCTGGTTGAACTGGAATGGAACAGGGGAGCCAGGACTCTCAATAAATCACATCCTGACCCGCCTCTTTACATCCAATAATGATGCAAATGTGCCACTTAACTGGGATCATCCGGCTTTTGAAAAGTATTACCATTCAGGTACTAGTCCGACTTTTCTCCCCTTCCTTTGCTAATATATGTAGAATTGCTACGCAAACGACCATAAAACAAACAAGTGAATCTTGCCAAGGCTAAAGGAAAAAAAAAAGTGTGTAACAACTTACAATCCTCAAACAAAAACCAATTTTGTTTCCTAGACACCAGAACTGAAACCTATCAGAATCTGAATTTTCGCGATATTGTATGTCTGGGTATTTCTCGCATAAATCCAAACAGGCAATGGATAATGAAAGAGTTTCATTTCTATCTCTTGCTAAAAAGATTCAATGGCACCTTTCTTACTCCCAAATCAAGCTACGTTCTCACTGAGTACACTGGGGTCGCCCACATGACTTCCCCCTGCCCCCAACACACGCCTGGTGTCCTTAGCTCAGAGGTCACACAGCATTCTCTTCCTCTGTCTGTCCATGCAGCTATCCAAACCACAGCAGAACGGCACTTTCAACCCAGCTTTGCAATATTCCAATCTAATAGAGAGTTCTCTTTTTCTTAAATTCGGTTATAATTTCCAAAAGAGTTCAACACAGTATGTATGCTTATCATCTTTCCTGGAAGTCCTTTGAGGCTGGGTGCGTGACTTTAAATTTTGCATGTTTTAAAAATCTCTTATGTGGCTTAGCAGTTTTAGGCTTGTAGTACATATTCAGCAGATAGTTTGCATTGATAAACGTTACCGAGTGGATTCAGCGCCGGCCAGGCTGCGTGCCTGGGGACCCCAGAGAGCTGACTACTCCCACAGGTGTGTTCGCGCGTGGAAAATGCATTTGCGTTCAGTGCCACGACTTTCCAGCACAACGCAAGCGGTGGTGTTCTCGGAAAGTCAACCTCGGCATCATTTCTGTGCTCTCGCCCTGTTGCTGAGAAATGCACATTCTGCCGTTTTGCAGAGAACACATTCTACTGAGACATTCAGTGTGCGTACCTCAAAAGCTATTGCCTCTTGAAAGCTAGCACTTTTATCTCCTCAGGTGACCTGGGAGAAACTCGAAGTGAAGGTTTACTTGTAATAAGACGGCAGCTAAGAAAGCAGTACTCACAATGCAGAGGAACTCCATCCGACAGGCAGTTCCCAAGAACACTTTCTTGGGGTTTTTTAAATTCTCACATGCTCCCCTTCTTACCACGAGGTGGCAGCACGCACCACACTTTGAAATAGCTTCCCGCTCCAGCAGGATGCTTCAACCCTGAATGCGTCTGGCGTAAACAACGTTTGTTGTGTCTATTTGTTCCTGATTCGTAAGACATGAAAACTTCAGCAGGAGACAACCAAAAGAATTCTGAGCATATCTGAATTAGGTAAGGGCACGCGAGAGAGAGAAAGGTAGCCTCAAAGGAAGTTTTATTTAAAATTTGAATAAAGAATCAGGTAACATCTATGCTACAATGTTAGAGGTTTAGTCATGATTTTTCATTATTTCTCAGTATCTTGTCACATGCTTATAACTGATGTTTCCAGTGAGGAATTCAAAGACTTTAACTTAGAATGCTAAAGGTGCGCATGCTCATTCTAACCATTAGAGGTGCCCCCCCCCATTTCATGTTAAATTCAGAAATCCATTCAATACGATCCAGGAAATACTAAAACATAATGGAAGTAAAAACGGCAGATTTCTTTTTGAAATATTGATCTTTGAAATGCCTGTGTTTTATAGTTAATAAAATTCACTGGTAGCTTAGTTCAAAGCCAAAGAATATCAGACTTTATCAAGAAAATCTGGACATAGAAGTGATGCTCGATCCCACTTTCCCTTAAAGATCACGGCATTATCTAAACAACAGCTCAGGGCTCACGGCCAGGTGCCGCCCCAAAGTGCCCGCCGCCATCCCAGATCCACCCCTTCTCCCTGCGCCTGCTCTCTGCGAAACCTTCGCTTTCAGCCTTTCATTTGACGGCCGTCACAAGTTCACTGTCTGTGCTGGCCTGTGTGTGTGCACAGCCTCACACACACACACACACACACTCACATACATGTGTGCATGTGTAAACACACACACAGGCTCACACACTCATATACACACTCACATACATGTGTGCATGTGTAAACACACACACAGGCTCACACACTCATATACACACTCACATACATGTGTGCATGTGTAAACACACACACAGGCTCACACACTCATATACATACTCACATATATGTGTGCATGTGTAAACGCACACACAGGCTCACACACTCACCAGATCATACACTCACGCACACACTCACATACATGTGTGCATGTGTAAATGCACACACAGACTCACACACGTGTGCA